TCCCATGGACTCCTTGGTTTGAGAAACCGGTCTGCCCGGATTACTGGCCAGCTGCCATCCCGTTTTATGATCCCAGCAGCAACCTCCTTGCTCTGGAAAAACTTTCACGGCAAAAAGGTGAGTGAGCGCTTTTTAAAATTTCACAGCTACCGAGTGAGAATGAGTGCCGTGACAGATCATCGTATTTGTAACTAATTTGAAGCTTTTTGACGTTCTGACACGTTTCTTTGCTTTATCGAGGTGTTAAAACGCATTGAGTCAAAGCACATTTCTGTTTGTCTTTCTCACGGCGTTTTTAAATTCCAGGTTTCTCAATCGTTTGCAGCGCTTCAGTCCTTAATCTCAAATTTCAAATTGTCATTTAAATGTCTGTAGCTACGTCAGGACCAAAAATATTGTTTAAAAAAACGGTGTTTCTCCTTTGTTCTGCAACAAGACCCAACCGAAGTAAACCAGAGTCGTGGGCTTTGCAGCCATAATTTCTTTTTCGAGTTTTTATAAGTAGTTACTTTTTTTTTGTTTTTCTCTTTGGTTTAGGTGAAGTACCATGCCTTTTCCAGTGCTCTGCCATTCTGTCCATCGGCTGTTTGCTTTTGTTACTCCACACAGTCGTCTCTTTTGCCTAGTGGTTCGGAGACGGTAGCACCGTGAACAGCTGAGCAGTTTTAATCTCATTTTGAGGTATCCGCACTTGCAAATTGTTGGTTTTAATTTGTACATAAAAATTTGCTTGCAGAAATGAAAGCCCATTCGATTGTTGATCTTGAAAGAGATATTTTGAAATACGCCTACAACCACTATGCCTACTTCATGGAGTATCATTTCGGGATTCGCGACCCAGGTAAAATACTTCTGTTTGGTTAATTATAGCGATTGCTGTTTGTGATTTATTTTCGAGAATGGGTTTCCGATAGCAGTTTTCTGTAATAATGACATTTATAGGGTCTGGTGAGGGGCTGCAAGGCGAAGAAGACAGACTACGAGTAAAGAGCAGGAGTCAGCAGTCGATTGGGATTCAGAGCGAATCAGCAGGTACTTGTTTATTATTAAATAGAGGTACTGACTGTTTTGCGATGCGTACAGTGTAACAGGGAAAGTAACTTATAAAGCTTAGCAAATACGACTGTCACTTTTGCTGGACTAAGCCTGACATCGAGCATATTCCTGGGTGTTTGCACTGTATTTATCAACAAGCTAGAGCTGTTTGATGATAGCTTCTGTAGCGGGAAATAATTTTTGCAGCAGTGCCCCCTCCCAATTCGGAAAGGAAGACTAGGAGAAAACTAGGCCCTTTATGCTTTTTTCATCTCTATAGTCTTTCTTACAGTGAGTTTGGAGTCCAGTTCCATTTGCACTGATCACGAGATTAACATATTGTTCAGTAACTTTGGTTTATTTGCGACAAAGCATTCCGGTCACTTCTCAATATAAATCGCTTATGATATAAACGAAAAAAGGCCGTGAAATGAATCATATGCATTGTTTACTGATTCATTCCTCTTTATTATTCCATGTTTTTCTATGTGTTGTTGTCTTTCAGCCCCAGAGGTGCCTCAACCTGGACCAAGTGGAGATTTTGAAGCAGAAGAAACGAAGCCTAGCGAAACTGCATCACAGCCAAGTTCACAA